CAAAAAAAAGCAAATGTGTTGGAAGGTAGCTAGTGAACTGAAGGAATAAGTAACTTAGTCAACCATCCGATGTAAAACTAGGGACTCTGGTGGTAGGATCTTGGAGCTACTGATGAGTTTTCTTCTTAGTGTCATTGGGTAAAGCTTCATTGACAAAAGCATGCCACCCATAATGTGGAAACTTGTTTTCTTCTGTCCCTGAACATACAGCACAAAAATAAATGGATGAGGTTGCATGCCATTAGGTATATAAATGTTACTATCCTGGCCTTTTATGTTCTGCCCGAATTTGCTCCATGGTTGTATTCACCCAGTAATTCTGTTTGGTTAGACACTCCAGGAAGAAAGGAAATAATAAAGACACAGCCCTCTGATGAATCATGAATTTATTTCACATAGTGTGATAAACTATTGCCCACTTTCTAACCTACCCTCCTCTTTTCCATCACTTATATCGGTCACTCTTAATTGTGATTGCTCTTAAATTGGGAGTCTCATTGCATTAGACTACTTGGCAGGGTGCATATACTATTGCAATAGACCCCTCTCTGGACTCTTTTCAGTTATTTCTCCTTCCAGGCCATCGTGTACATTCTGATCATAGTAATATTCCTGATATACAAGTCTGTTTTACTTTCCTCCTTCTAAATTTTCAGAATGAAGTCAAACTCTTTGTCTTGGTATGCAGGGCTCTCCAGCAGTTAATTCCAAACTGTTTTTCCAGTATGTAGTTTGTTGAGTCAAACTGGGCTACTGGTTATGTAAGGAATATAACCAACACTTTTTCATGCCTTTGCTCAGGCTGTTCCTTCTGCCTGGAATGCTTATCTCTTCTTTTTTCCTTTGAAACCCAACTCAAATATTCTTTGTTCTATAAATGGGTCTGCCCTTCCCTCCCTGTTCTGTATTTGGATTATACTTTGCAACTGTAATATAACTACATTTTTTGCCCTGAAGAACAGGAACCATCTTGTTCACTGGGTCTCTCACTTTGCTAAGAGAACAGTTCTTAACTCCTAATAGATATTCCCTGAATGTTTGTTTCACTTTAATGGTTCTTAAGTTTATACAGGGCCACCTAGGAAAGGATGAGTTTCAATCAGTGTCAATACTCATTCCCTTAGTCTTATGTGGTTGAGTCAGATTAAAAAACAAAACACGAAGGGCAGTCTTGATGAAGAAAACAATCTCATTAGCACACTGTACGTAAGCATGCATTGTATAGATAGGGATTGGGAGCATTACTTTCATGGTTGGGGGAGTTTATTGTGTATGAGACCTTTTTTCACACTAACCTTAGTGCCAATGTTTTGATCATTCTCAAGAAAGTAAAATATTTAGAGTGGTAATTTAGAGTCTTAGATTAAGGTTCCTTAAAACATTGTGGTCAATATTTAAATATGAATTTGTCTTTCAAATTATGTAGCTTCTATTATTTAAATTTATTTACTGTTTTTCTTTTTGAATAAGAATTATTTGGCACATATTTTTCATACTAATTTCTTCTAATTTTAGGAAAGTGAAAAAAATATTATGATGAGCACATTATACAAGCTTCATGATCGATTGGCACAGCTTGCAGGTAATTGTATTCATATTCATAGTCTCTAAAATTATTTTGAATAATAAATGTACATAAGTAGCATGTTGTATCAGTAGGAATAGTTTTTCCCACATTTGGTGTTATATTTGTAGAATATTCTCTTTAGAACTTTTTATTACCAATAGAGTGATTTTTTATTTTTATAGATATATTGAGTCTGGGGCTTCTTCCTGCTTGCCATCTGTATTAAATGTATTATGTATATTGTACTATATAATGTAATTTTAAAGTCAGTCAAATTTCTTTATTGCATTAATAGTAATAAAAACTTCTGAAAGCTTAAATATCAGTTAAATTGGACAAGCAGTGAATTAACTATTCAGTAAAATCCTGGATTGAATGTTAAAATGCAGATTTTCCTTTTGATGGCTATATAGGTTTCATTCTTTTGGATAAAATAAATATATTCTCCTAGAATTTCCTTTCCTGATTCAATGCATTTTCCTTATACTCTGCTCTTAGTCTTCGAGAGCTCTCAGATATCCAACATGTCTACAATTATAAGAATTTATTATAGATGAATTGATATCAAATTTAGCATATTATAAGCTGTATTAGCAACTTATCTATTTATTACCTTTTAATTTTTTTTAGTTATATATAATCCAAAAGAAGAGACTTTGGATTCTCTTCTTATAAGCAGTTACAAGAAAAGGAAAATATGATTTTTCAAACTTCTCTATGTAGCAAATTCTTTTGTGGAAACCAGATCATTGGTAGAAGCTTAGTAGGTAAATGTAGAACTTCTCTTGTTGAATGGAGGTATTTACGATCCTGACAGTTCCCCATTCTCTCACCTGTCTTTGTTTTTTTCTTTGGATCCTTAATTCTGGTCAATTTTTTAGGCTTCTAATTTTGTGTATGTCACTAAAAGCCTTCTTTGCATCAACTCACTGACTGTCATATTCATGTACTACAAGCTAATGACATTTATTTGGTATGGTGTAGCACCCAGAAATAGGTTAAGTATATACTCTAGTGTTAAATATATACTTTAGCTAGGAATTCCTGATGTTGCTAACATAAGCATCCATAGCTGTCTCTATAGCATTGTTTTATTTGTTCATGGCCCTCTAGATCAGCATAGTTGGTGTGCTTTTAAAGATGTGGATTCCTTTTAGAGCAGGAGTCAGCAAGTTTTTTTTCTGTGAAGGGCCAGATAGTGAATATTTTAGGCTTTTGCAGGTTAGACTGCCTCTGTCACAACTACTCGGTTCTGCAGTTACAACATGAAAGCAGCATACATGAATGAGTTTGGCTGTGTTCCAATAAAACTTCATTTATAAAAATCATCCGCAGGCCAGATTTGGTCCATGGGCTGTAGTTTGCTGACCTCTGCTCTAAATTTATGGAAATTTGAATCTCTGTGGATGCCTTTCAAAAACTTGTTCACCTGATAGGTACTTCTTCCTTTTTTATGACTACTGTCATTATAATCTGACCACTTGAATAAAACTGATAAATAAGAGCATAGTTATTTTTATTATAGAAAAATTAGCCAAGGATTTTTACTTTAATTTCACTTCCATGTAAAAAATTTTTTAAAACTACTTGAAGGAAGCAGGGCAGGGAAAATCTGACAATTGAAGTTCAGTATGAGGATAATTTATTTCTAATAACCACATATAGCCTAAAGAAAAAGCTTTGAATTCACTTCCTATAAACAGTTAAAAGAAAAGAAAAATGTAGTTTCCCAAAGATTTGTATGTAGCACATCCCTTTGTAGAAACCAAATCATAGGTAGAAACTTCTACCTAATTTCCTTGTTAATTTGTCATAACAATTTTTAAGGCATGCACACTCCTTCCTAAAGATAGGCTTAGTTATACTCTGACAATGCTTGTGGTTTAATTCAAAACTTATTTGAACCCTTACATTTTTAGCTTTAGAAATAGATATGTAAGTCAGCACAATGAATTTGCTGAATTTTTCCCCTTTAGGAATAATACATATCTATGGAGGGCCCCCTGTGTGCCAAGATCTATGGATAGGCATCAGTATGACATGGTTCCTACTCCGGCTTACAATGTAGTTGGGACTATAAGAGGAAGGTATTTTCCTATCTAGACTGAAATGTATTTAAAGGTTGTGGTTTAAGTAAGAGTAGTTGTTTACTTATATTAGTTACTAGAATTTTTTCTAGAAAATAAAATAATATTGTTCATATTCTTTCTTTACTAATTATAATAATATAACCTATAATTGTATAATTTATAAAAAATTTTGCACTATATTTGTTCTTTTTAACATAGCACTGATTCAAAATTAATAATATGCTGATCTTTCCAGGAGATCACGAATGTGGCAGTTCTAGTCAAAGAACACTTTCTGTTGAAGAAGCAGCTGCATATTTAAAAGTAAGCAATGAAATTACAATCGTAATATCTATATTCTTAACATTTCTATAAACCATTACTACTTATATCAGATATACCATGGATTTGATTACTTTAATTGTACTACTAAAAGCTTGAGCCTACTGTTTGGTGTACTGCAAGCAGATAAGAGAAACGAAATTGCTCAGCATTTTTGTTTTAGTTTGTTTTAGAACATTCTCTATGTGAGAATGCATATTAATTTGGAAAAGGTACAAAAAAACTGGTAAGAGGAAAATCGAGATAGGTAAGTAGTATGTAAGAAAACAAATAAGCATTTAACCATTTCTGCTTCAAATCTTCTGTTGCAGATCAATCTTATTTCAAGATACTAAGAGAACTTGTAGTTGAATTTTCTAAACTACTGTAAATAATCTTGGGACAATCCCAGATGAAAGGAGGAGTACTAGAAAGTTAAAGATGGGCAAGTGTCATTCTGATTTCTAAAAGGTGGAAAGTGGAATTTGAAAACCATATGGGAAAGATTAATGTCAGTCTACTTCTATAAAGATAATTACATAAAGATGTGAGTTCTTGCAAGTGGAAATGTTGATCCCTAGAAGTTGACTGGCATGAGTTCAATGGGAACAAGTCAAGTCATACAAACTTCATGTTCCCCTTTCCCCCTCTTTTAAAAATTGCGGTAAAAATCATATAACATGAAATCTACCCTATTGCTACATTTTTAGGTGTATAGTATAGTATTGTTAACTATATATGGCATTGTTGTATATCAAATCTTGAGAACTCTTTCATCTTATGTGACTGAAATCATACCCATTGCAAAATAGGTCTCCATTTTCCCCTCTGACAAATCCCTGGCAACCACCATTTTACCTTCTGCTTCTACCCGTTTGGCTCATATAAGTGGAATCATGCAGTATTTGTCCTTCTGTGACTAACTTATTTCACTTAGCATAATGCTTCAAAGTTCATCCATATTGTAACCTGACAGTATTTCCTTCTTTTTTTAAGGTTGACTAATACTCCATTATACATACATACATATTTTCTTTATCCAGGCATCTGTTGATGGGCTTTTAGGTTGTTTCCACCTCTTGGCTATTAGGCTATTAGGCTTCAGCAAATATGGGAATGCAAATATATCTTTGAGATTCTACTTTCAGTTCTTTTGGACACATACCCAGAAGTGGGATTGCTGGATGATACGGTAGTTCAATTTTTTATTTTCTGAGAAACCTCCATACTGTGTTCCATAGTGGCTGCACCATTTTACATTCCCTCCAACAGTGTACAATGGTTCCAGTTTCTCTGCCTCCTTAACACTTGTTATTTTCTGGGTTTTTTTCCCCTAGATAATAGCTATCTTGACAGGTGTGCAGTGATATTTCATTATAGTTTTGATTTGCATTTCCCTGATGATTAATGATACCAAGCATCTTTTCATATACCATTTATATACCATATATATCTGTATATACATGTGCCATCTGTTGGCCATTTGATGTTAAGTCCTTAGCTGATTTTTTTAATTGGGTTATTTATTTTGTTACTGAGTTGTGGGAATTTCTCGTGTATTTTATATGTTAACCCCTTATCAGATACATGATTTGCAAATATTTTCTCCCATAACTGTAGACTTCTTTTTCACTCTGTTCATTGTTTCCTTCACTGCTCATACACTTTTTGGTTTCATATAGTCCCACTTGTCTATTTCTGCTTTATGTGTCATATCCAAGAAATCATTGCCCATATCAATGTCATGAAGCTTTTTTTTTACATTTTCTTAAAGAAGTTTTATAGTTTCGGGTCTTACATTTAAGTATTTAGTTGATTTTTGCGTATGGTATAAGATAAGGTTCCAATTTCATTCTTTTGCATGTGAAAATCCAGTTTTCCTGGCATTTCTTGAAGAGAGGACAGTCTCTTTTCCCATTGTGTAGTCTTTGCACCCTTGTCTAAAATCATTTGATTGTATATGAGTGGCTCTATTTCTGGCCTCTCTATTCTCTTCCATTGGTCTATCTGTCTGTCTTTATACCAGTACCATACTCTTTTGATTACTGTAGTTTTGTCATATGCTCTAAAGTCAGGAGGTGTGAAGGCTCCAGCTTTGTTCTTTTTTTCTCAAGATTGGCTTGGCTACTTGGGGTTTATGGTTCCATATGAATATTAGGATTGTTTTTTCTATTTCTGCAAAATAATATTATTGTGATTTTGATAGGGATTGCATTTAACCTGTATTGCTTTGGATAGTATAGTTATTTTAGCAATACTTATTTCTTTCAGCATTTCTTGTGATTTTCCACGTACAGGTCTTTCATCTCCTTAGTTAAGTATATTCCTAAGTATCTTAATCTTTTTGATTGCTATTGTAGATGGGTTTTCTTAATTTTCTGTTCAGATTGTTCATTGTTAATGTATAGAAATGCAACTAATTTTTGTATATTGACTTTGTATCCTGCAACTTTGCTGAATTCATTTATTCTAACTGGGCTTTTTGTGGAATCTTAAGGGTTTTCTACATAGAAGATCATGTCATCAGCGAAAAGAGATCTTTCTGAATTGGATACCTTTTATTTCTTTGTCTTCCCTCATTGCTCTGGCTAGGACTTCTAGTACTTCGTTGAATAGAAGTGAAAGAGTGGCATCCTTGCCTTCCTCCTGAAAATTTTTTTCAGTTCTTCACCATTGAGTATGATGTTAGCTGAGGGCTTTTCATGTATGGCCTTTATTATGTTGAAGTAATTTCCTTCATTCCTAGTTTGTTGAGTATTTTTAGCACGAAATGGTGTTCAATTTTGTCAAATGCTTTTTCTGCATCTATTGAAATCTTGTGGTTTTTATCCTTCGTTCTATTAATGTGGTGTAATCATTTTGATTGATTTTTGAATGCTGAACTATCTTTGTGCCCCAGAGTATGGTATATGATCCTTTTAATATTGTTGAATTTGGTTTGCTGGTATTTTATTGAGGCTTTTTATGTCTCTATTCATCAGGGATTTTAGTCTGTAATTTTCTTGTAGTATGTTTGTGTGGCTTTGGTATCAGAGTAATGCTGGCCTCATAAAATCAGTTTGGAAGTGTTCCTTCCTTTTCAACTTTTTGGAAATTGCTGCTTTAAAAATTCTCTGTCTTTGATTTTTAACAGTTTGAATATAATGTGTCTCAATGTTTTGGGCTTATCCTTATTAGGGTTTGTTGGGATTCTTGAGTCTAAATACCCATTTCCTTCTGCGGATTTGGTGATTTTTTTGGTCATTATTTCTTCAAATAAACTTTATTGCCCGTTTCTTCCTTTCCTCTCTTTCTGGAACTTCCATTTCCTGTATATTGGTCTGCTTAATGTCCCATAAGTCCCTTTGGCTTTCTTTACTCTTCTTTATTCTTTTTTCATTTTGCTTCTCTGACAGGATAATTCTAAATGACCTCTTTTTGAGTTTACTGATTCTTTCTTCTGCTTGATTGAATCTGCTCTCGAACCCCTGTAATGAATTTTTAAATTCAATTATTACATTCTTTAGCTCTAAAATTTCTGGTTTTTTAAAATATTTTCTGCCTGTTGTTCATATTCTCACTTGGTTCATGCATTGTTTTCCTGATCTTGTTGAATATCTTTATGATGACTTTTATGAATGGTCAGGTAATTCTTACACCTCAGTTTCTTTAGGGTATGTTTTTGGAGGTTTATTTTGTTCCTTTGAGTTTTTCTGTTTCTCCATGTGCCTTTTTACTTTGTGTTTGGATCCACACATTTGAAAAAACAGCCACCTTTACAAACTTTACAGACTTACTTCTTACAGGCTAGAGATTCTGAGGTCCTCTTGAACCTTTTTTGTGGTTGTGACTTCGGATTTGTACCTGTAAATTCCCAATTAGAGAAGTTTTGGTGGTTTTATTTTTTCAAAGCTCATAATCTTTTGCTCTGTCTGGTGTCTGTCTGCAGTAATACAAGTGTCTGGAGCTGCCATAAGCCATCCAGCTCTTTTTTTCTTCTTAGTGGCTTCCAGACATCTAGAGTATGCTGGGTCCTGTCAGTGCTTCAAGTTAGGTGAGACAGAAACCAGTGAGGCAACTCCCCTTGCCCCGGTGAAGTCACAACATTGGATGTAAGCTCCAACTATTTTCCTTCCCAGGGAGTTGGGATTTTTCTTAACTTTCTTCATGCTGAAATGTACAGGAGCTGGGGGAGTGGTGGGGGCAGGGGGATGATGATGAGTGAGTGTGTGGTAGTTCAGACTGTCACCTTTGTTCTTAGTAGCCCCTAACCTGGTGCTCTTTCCTGTCAGTAGTTAGATTCAGGCAAGACAGAAACCAGTTGCTCTAGTAGTTACCACCACCCCCGACCCCAACTCAGACCAATAGATGTTCTAGTCCTCTCTTTTCCTACTGAGGGAAAAGCCAGGAGTTGAAAGTATCCTCTCAATTACACTGCCTTATGGGGTGGTAGGATCTGTCAAGTGAGTACCATGAATTTTTCTAAAAACTTCAATGCAGGTGGTTTTGTGCTTGCCTGGGTATAGGAACCTCTTAACTGATTTCTGGATTTTTCACAGATGGAATTGGTCCGTGTATTTTTGTTGAGTCAGTGTCTCCATGTGGGAAAGACCATCTGGGACTTTCTTATTCTGCCGTCTTGCTGATGTCACTCCTCCCCTTTTATAAAATTAAGGATGTAGTATATGTTTTAATGCTTTCAGCAAGGTTTCAGTGACAGTCTCCTGGGATATGCTTGTCAACAAAGAGAAATGTGGACTGAGGTTTTAACTTAATGCATGACTTATTGTAGACACCAAAAAGATGTTAAGACAATGTAGTACGATGGAGATTAGATCTGAATTCAGATTCTAGCACTGGCACATGGAAGCTATTTCATCTTGGTCAAGTCCCTTAACTTTTCTGAACCTGTTTCTCTTTGCGAAAGTGGACTATTAATTCTTGTCAAAGTTGTCCGGAGGCTTAAGTGAGTATGTAAAGTACATTGCTCAGTGCCTGATGATTATAGTAGCTTCCCAGTAAGTTTTA